TGAGTAAACCAACATCATTATGAGAGACAGTTAGTGCAAAGCTATAGAAATTAAGTTTGAAAATAAAGAAGAGAATTAGCAATAGATTTAACAGCAATGATTTGATTTAAGATCAGGCACAACCTTTGTGTATGCATAAATTAATGTCACAGATCGTCTCGGCCTTCAATTTACCTACATGTGTTTTTGTAGCTGCTATTGAGCTGCAGACTCTCAACCTTTATGACAATATACATTTATGTGTCAGTGTGTGTGCAAGCATGAGAAGATGTTCCATGTGGTTATTTTTTCTATAGTTAATTGAAAGTGTACAGTGTGCACAATTGCAGCAGATAGGTTCCTGGATTCCAGGAGTGAGTTGTTTGGATCATGTGAACATCAATTTGTTACTGTCAGCCTCAGTTAAACTTGTATTAATTGATTTGGCCAGGTACAGAAGCAGGGGTTAAATTGGGATTTGTGAGGAGAAGGAGACTCTGGGGGGGTTGTGTATGGGTGGAGTGGTTTCTACTGTTAGCATTTTTCACAGGGATTATTTCTTGAGTAGAAAGAAGTTTCAATGCAAACAGTAGACATTGTGTTCTGTGGGTGTGGGTTGTCCAGAGTAGCAAATGCACTGTTTCTAGAAAGAGATCTTGCTGTCATATTTTGTAATACTGTTTCACAAACTAAATTATATTCACCTCTATTTTATTAGATTAATTAGATAAAGAGTTAAATAGCACTGTGAAGTCCTAAAAGACAATAATAAAGCACCCCAAATATATAGGTCTATACCCAAATACACTGTAGTGAATTACCATTCATTTTTTTTTGTTTCAGCTTGAATTTATGGTTCAGTTCACTGCTCATGTGTTAAAATAAACTACTTCAAATATTACTGAATTCAAGCTGAACTGAAACTCCCTGTAATGATCCACTTGATACGCCAGAAAGAAATATTGTGATTGTCCAGAAGGAATGATTTTCTGACTTTTGCTGAAAATAAAAATGTACTGACAGCTTGGATGGGGCTATAATCCTGAGGAATGCTCCTGTGATTTCACTGTATAACCTTGCAGTCTGTGTGAAATAACTTACCTGTGAGCTGCGCAAAAAAGCACAAATAAGACTACCGTGAGATAACAATGCCACATCACAGGATTTAATGAACTCACTGCTGCTGTGTCACCTCGCTCAATTTGGAGACTCAGTATTGATCCTGGTGCTGTGTGGTGGCCACAGCTTTTTAATGAAGTTAAAGGAGAGAGGCCTACATCCCTCAAATTTTGTTTGGTCAGCATGAGAAAGTATTTGAAAGTGTGTGTGTGGATGGGGTGTGATTTAAATGTCCTAAAGTGGAGATCATATCCACTGTGCTTTTAACCCCCGGTCAGCAGAAACAAGCTGTGAACACATTGACATATCATCAATATTTAAGTTGATCTATAGCAAACAGTTGATTATTTACACATGGAGCAGCAAACATGAAGCAACTGGCTACTAACTGTTTCTGTCTGCGGTTCAGGGCAGGTAGTTACAGTGGGCTTTTAGAGCTTTCTAAACTTTTTTTGGTGGTAAGAGCGAATCAAACCAGTAAAGTTGTACGAGTAACCCCTTCCACATACACATTATACATAATATATTATGGTTACAGTGTCTAAACAGTAAAGTACAGCCACTGTCAAAACTATTACTATTATTTATTGAATTAGGTTCCATCTGCTATCAACTCATAGTATTCGTCCGACTTAGTTTCTTGCTTCCCAGCTTTCTTTAAAATGTATGCTTCTTTCCATTTATTCCCATGAACGCCTCTCAGAGTCCGAGGGAAACTGCCAAGCAACTGCAAATGAGCAATTACTAACATGGGTAAACACAGAGGCAGATGTTTGAACCAAGAACAGAGATGCATAGATTAACACAAAACAGTGATGTCAGACGGAGAGAGACAGGCCAAGACGGTGCACGCGACGAGTTAAAGAGAGGTTTCGTGATATCTGCCTGTCAATGGGTTTTCACCATTTTTTACTTGTGGAGAGGGAGAGGGGGGCAGCTGGGGTGGTTTGGTCTCCATGGAAACTGACATTCCCTTGTAGGTGCTTGGCAGCCGCCACCAATTGTTGGGCTTGGGTAATGGTTTGAAATTCTCAGAGTGCCTCAGAGGTTGAGATTAAATTGAACCTGCTTGAGGTAGACTCACGCAGTGACTAATCACAGTGAAGGAAAGAGAGAGCTTAATGGAATTCAGACAGAGAAATATGTAGCTTGTGATCACATGTCAAATTTGAATTTTAGCTCTTTTGTTTTTGGCTGCCAGTGAAATATCACTTTTCATTTATTAAAAACCTATTGCATTGATGGTCACCGACTGCTTCCTAGTAGGAGAGGCATATCCATCCATCATTACAGTGTTCACTTTGATTCAGTCCGGCGATGCTGTTTCATGTAGGCTGGACATTTTCTTTATGTCAGATATATTAGCAGTTAAAATAACAGCACCTGCAGAGCTTGTTTTTCCCTGTTATTTCTGCACCCCCTCCCTCTTTCCCATGAGCCTTTGCTCCAGCTGGCAGACCTATCTGAATGAGAGTGGTCAGGCACCACTGCTTAACAACTGATGAAATGATTGTTCCTCTCCTCTCCGTCTCAAAGTGTGGAACACTTTAGCCGTATGTGGCAGGTAGTGTGATGGGCCTGTGGACGTCAGCAGCTGAAAAGGATCAGCCAGGCGAAGTGTCGACCTCACACGTCTGCCCACACCTCCAACTCATGCAGAAAATATGGCAGATTATTACTGTGTGCATCATTGAGAACCTTTAGCTGACTTCAAATCAAATTTGTAAATGTGGGTTAACCTGAACAAGCACAAGGCATTTTTCTAGTGAGTATGGCCTGCTGCTGTTGAGTTTGATCTTGTCACACATGAAGGGGGTGTAATGGGATTCTCCACTGAGCAAGTGCATGACTATATGTTTCTAAGATTATAAGCACTCAGTTTTCTGCAAAATACTATTTGCATTGGCAACACAAAACAGCAATACTGAGGCATTACTCGTGCCAAATAGGTACTGCAAGGACAAATACACAGGGGTGTTTATGGTAGGGCTAAATGAGATTTGATCCTTGGATTTAATATATTTTGCAAATATTTTTTAAAAACCCAGACATGAACTTGTACATGAACAGCATAGGTGTGTGTGTGTGTGTGTGTGTGTGTGTAGGTGTGTGTGTGTGTGTTTCAGTAGCAGTTTGTAAGGCTTATTTGTATGCCACAGCAGCTACTGTTGTTTCCAGGACTTCTGTAGCCTGGGTGGTCAGTCTCTGTTCAGCCTGAGAGAATCAAAGGATTTCAGCACAGGACAGATCGTAACTGCCAGTGTCTCCTCCTTTCACAATTCAGTGCACAACAATGAGGCAGTGTTTTGCATGAAAAGTGCAAGGAAAAGGGTCTGATTGTTTGAAATTGAAAAGTATATTAAAAATGCTTGTTTAATTACTGAAAGTACTGTTATTTAGGCAAGTAAAGACACTCAGATAGATGTATATTTTTCCCAGGAGGAACCATGTCAAGTGGTTCCATCCAGGCAAACAGCTTTTGTCACTGATGATAACATTCGAAGCACTTTCAGTGAAGGTAAATCTTCACTCACTACAGCTCACAACAGGTCACAGATCAATCTACAGCTAGCGCTGGACCATCCCACTGAGCAGATCCTGTTATTAGACAGCAGATGTAGTGGGCATCTGTTTGCACATGTACAAACTAACTAGAGAACAAGTCTGTCATCCAGCAGACATGAGCTGGTTTGCTTGACTACTTCAGACTGGAAACCAGTAATTGAGGGCAGAGTGGTTCAGGGAATTGGGGAGAAAATGTTGTTTTGGGGAATTTACTACTGGCAGTGCTGGTGGGCACAGTTTTGGCAGTGGGAGTCATATAAAACATTCATTCAAATTCCCAGAATACATAATTTATTATGTATCCAAATGATGATGCAAACATATCTACAAAGTATTTTATGTTACGTCCTCTGTGGCCTGTGAGCATTTCCAAACCCCTTAGCACAGAACAATGAATCATATTTTGCATTACAACAATTAATGTGCCCTCGCAGTAACCTTTGTATCTTTGTAAGATTATTCTTTAATACTGCACCAGGGAAATGTAAGGAGCATTGTATGCTGCTACCACACTGATGCATTCAGTTACAAGCACAAGTCAAATAGGCTGATTGCTGCCAATTGTAATGACAATGGTTATATATTTATAGTATTGGCAGCCTGTCAGACGCAAGTCAATGGAGGCACATTCAGCTGCCATGTGATTTTATACTGCCTGGCAGGGGGAGAAAATTAAGTTTGGGTCCACATGCTTGTGGGAAGCAGCTGATGTTGACTGAAAGATGTTCAATCTTTTTGCACAAATGCTCACAAGACAATTCATTTGATGTTGCAAAGAGTTGGCGCTGGTTGCAATCCGAGTAAGAGAAATGTGTCTGTCTCTGTTACAGACATGCATACAGTATGTGTGTGCACACGTGACATGTATTTAGCACATGTGGATGTTGACTGTTTTTGGTGGATATGCATCCATGCACAGTAATTACTTTATGCTCAGTGCCGGGGAAGGATTTAATTAACTGCCCCCTGTCAGGGTAGATAATTAGTCAATAACACACTCTCTCTCTCTTTCATACACACACAGAATAAGTCAATATGTTTTCCATCCTAACACTAAAGCTAAGACAAGAATGTACTAACAATTACTTGCTGTTGCAGGAACATAAAGTACACGTCTTGAGTGACACGGCTCAATAGGCAATTACAGACAAGTATTGAGAAAAGCTGCAGACAGGAGTTGAGCATGGTGTGGGTTCTGTCTGCCCACAGACGGAGAAGCTAATGTTGTTGATTTTTGTTTAAATTGCTACACTAGTGTGGTAGCGCACTGTATGATCTGCAGCCTCGCTTATGCTCACTCAACACAACAGTAATTATATTTTCTTCTTTTTTTGCAGGTTCAAGGTTTGATCTACACACAGGGAAAGGTAAAACAAATCTTCAACTTACTTACAGATCTTACAGATCTCTTTTTTTCTTTCTCTACTCTCTTTTTTTTTCTCTGCATGCGCAGGGAAACATGATGATTAGCAGGCATTAGACTGTGTGTGCTGCTGTGTGTGTTCAGATTGTGTGTGGATGGATATTGAGGCCTTATTGGGGAGATTTGTGAACCAGTTTTTGTCGCTGTTTTCACTGCACACCAACACATGTATTTGGTACCGCCTATTATCCTAATCGCAATGAACATAAAATGCGGATTAGGGATGTCTTATGGCATCCATCATAATCACACACAAACACTCACTGAATTATTTCAGGACACAAGCATCTGCTGCAAAAAAACAATGCAATTAGTGTGTGTTCATGTCTCATATTATATCCAGACACCAGTGCCATCTGAGATAGTGATTGCTTAGCAAATTTTTTTGTGATATAAGTGTGTGTACAAGTATTTATTGTGTTGTTTCAGATAGCAATTATAGACGTTTTAGGTTTTGCCATCTAGGCAGGATTTGATCATTATGGCGATGGTGGACCTACAGCTCTTTGGTCTATTTCTGGCAGATGGAGTCTGTAACGGTTTATGTCTGCGGCCTTCCCTCTGTAGATCCCAGAGTATTTTAGTCCAGAATAATCCCCACCATCTGCTGTCTCCTCTACTACGTTTTAGTGCTCAGTATCTTTCCCTCTATCTGTCCCGCTAGTTTATTTCCTGTTGCATTTCCTCCTCTTTCTTTCTCTATATTTTCTTTCTCATCCCTCACAGCTGCATTTCTTAATTGTAATGCATCTTTTCCTCTTCCATTCAGGCTCCCATTCAGTTTCCATCACCTTCTATCCTCTTCCTCTACTCAATCCCCATCTAACTTCTCCTTCTTTCTTATGGGTCTTAATTTTCTTTCTCCCTCTTTCCGTCCACTTTTCTATGATCTCTTCCTCATGATCTCCTCATGCATCCTTTTAATATTTGGTTTTCCTCCATCTCATTTTAAATCCATGGATGTCTCTTCACGCTCTACTCCTCAGTGTTTCACTCTTTATCCCTCTCTCTGTCCACTCATACACACGCCAACCACTCTCCACAGGCTGTCAAATCCTAATCTCGGTTTCATGAACACAGACCTATACTCCCTGATTTCCAGTGTGAAAGTCTTAAAAATTCCATTAGGAATGCATGGAACTACATTTTATAGGCTGTGTGCATAATTTCAGCAAAGTACTCCTCAGGAGTCGGTTGGAGCTAATTATAACTCCATGGCTGAGTTTGTGTGTAAAGTCCTTCTTAAGTTCTTAGTAACTACTAGTTTCAAATTAGTGATTAACTCAATTGGGTTACCCCATTGAAACGTATAATGTCTTGGCTTGTAATGTGTAAATCCATTGCTAGGAAAGAGCTGTAGCACCATTCAATCAGAAGCAATCAAACATGTTTAGAGAGTCAAACGATACATTAAACTTACCTGAAAAATTGTTTATGTCATATGAGCAACCATATTGGGTCATTTAGTTTAATGTAATTGGCACATTTTTATTGTGAAATGCAATTTATTATCATCCCAGTTTAAATAACATTTTATGCAATATCAAATCAGATGTGATGTTATATTCAATTTACAATTATTCAGCAAATCTGTGTTGACCATGCTGCTGGCAAGTGTAGAACATCTTACAAGCTGCCAGCTCATTCTCATTGCTTAATACCTAGGAAAGGATTTTGTTTATAACTGAGAATTGCATTTAAACAGGGACTTATTGATCAGAAACACCGTTCCTCAACCAAGTTCATATTGCTCCAGTGTCTTTAAGCACAACTACCTGAGAAATCAACTGACAAGTTCACAACAAGGATTAAAAGTTGATAACATTATATCATTCTCCTTTGATCCAAACATTGTACAGTTATTTTGAGATCTGATAAAACATGAAAAATATACCAGCTTAGCAAACAGCAGTTTAGAGCTTTGTGACTAAAATCACAACAGGAAAAAAAATAATTATCCACTTGCTGGGAAAATCGCATTTGAAATATGGAAGGCTCTCATTTTCCTCTACAAGTACCACTAAGGTGCCCAGGGAAAAGGCATTTGACTCTCTGCTGCTCCGCTGCAGTTGTTCTCTGGCAAATGGTACATGACTACTGCAGAAACCCTCAAGTGTTTACGACTGTATCCCTTCTTTCCTCTGCCCTTCCTCTTTCACACTGATGCTCTAAGTGAGGCTGAGCTCTTTGTCAAATTAATGTAGCTGAGAACATGACAACAACACTTCACTTAGCACAGAGGCACATGCATTTATGACATTGATGTTCTCCATAGAGGGAAATTCAGTGTGCTATAATGTGGAGGGCAGAGTACAAGGTTTATTTGCCTTGATAGATTCAGATGTTCTGTGTGTCCCTGAGTGGGTCGCAGCAACCGCAATGACAACATTAGCAACCAAAATACAGACAGGTATGACATCAGCACCACGGTGACATGGTTGTCAGCCATGTACAGCACATCTCTGTACCAGCACACAGCTGGATTAACAATGACTGAATGGATTAGTGAGTGTGTGAGTCTGTGTGTGTGTGAAAGTGAGAGAGTCAGACAGAGACAGAATGATAAAACATGATGGTGACTCCTGTGTCAAGTGGGTATTTGATAAAGCCGGATACCTTAAACAGATACCGATAATACCCCGAGATCATCATATTTTGGCTCGACTGCTAATGACATCACAAAACCGTGCACTCCACATGTACATGTGAGCTCACCCATACACACACCCACAGCACAGAACAGATCGTATCCTCATCATCTGACCCAAATCCATTAGCACTAGGAGTCACAACCTCATCCATCCACTCTTCTCCCTCAATTTCCTCTTCTTCTGCTTCCTCCTCTCTCATTCTTTCCCAGACATCAGACCCCCCCCATGTGGGACATATCCTCTGTGAGCTCATCTGAAATGACATAAACAGAGGCAGTCAAACAGTAAGATTAAGCATGTAGGTGTTCTCAGCCACGTGGGCACTTATAGTGCAGCTTTTTAAGTGGCATCCAACGAGCCAGCCTCTCTTTACGCCACTCAGAATGACAAATTTATCTGCTCTCACACCATTTCACAGACCTCAGACAATTATATAAAAGCAGATGAAGATAACTTCAACAACAGCTAAAGCTAATCCAAACATAATTTTGTATTAAAATCTCTACATATTGAGTAAATAATAATAAATAATAATATAGATATTGAATAATATTGATATCCTATGTAAAGAACACCATATACTGAGTGTATGTGTGTGTGTATGCATATGTGTGTTTGACAGATAGATTGCCAGCTAGACCATTTATGCTAAAGCTGCATGCCTCTCTGCTGCTGTAAATTGCTTTGGATTGCTGTTAATATCTACTTTCGCCATTTCTCTGTGAGTCCAATATTAAAATCTGCCATGATGTCATTCTTCTGTAGCTCTTTCATCCTCACTGCAGCAATGCATTTCTTGGATTTCTGTATTTGAACATTGCGTAGTGCTCTAAGAATGTCAGTAATGAATATAAGACATGCAATCTGCTTGACTATTCACAACGCTCCTAATTGAAATACTGAAAAGAAAGCTCTGGCTAATCAGCTTAGAGATGTAGTCCACAGTTGACAGATAATAAAGAGGATCTTAGTGCTGAAAAGTCTATTACCACCCATGTAATGAGAGTTCACATAATATGATCTGAGGACAATGGAGGGATAGGGAAGTTAGGAGAGGGTGGCGGGCTTGGTGGAGTAAAGCATTGTGGTAGGTTGAAGAGAGGGCTCCCATTGTTTTAATAAAAAGGTTTTAAAAGAAGAGAAACATCGCATCAAAAGGGGCTCAACACAAGCCAAGTTTAAAAGAATGTAAGTAAGGTAACAGTAAGGTGAGCTGACGCAGGATGACTGAGTGTGTGAACATGAAGGCATTAATGTTCACAAATGCAAACTATGCTTAAACCAAGTCATGGAAATAAGTCAAGTAAATCCTTAAAATTAAATTCATTGCAAAGATATTGTACTAAAACTGGAGCAACAAGTCCTTAGATAAAATAAAATAGATAATATAGGCAGTTTGTCAGTTCCTTCCAAAATGACTCACTGTTTGCAGAACAACTGATATGACTGCAGTGCTATCGTTAAAGTAAAGTTTAGCTGGCTTAAAATACTAATTAATCAAGGAAAGATTTGAAAGAAACCACAAATAGATCAGACCTGAACCATGGTCATTCGTACAAATAGAAGAGGACTGATGTCAGGAAAATGTAAACATATGTCATTTTCAGAATCAGCACAATCAAACATTACTTAGGACAGTCTCAAAGGGGAGTATGTGATCTGTCTTTGTGGTCAGGAGTCTGGCTGCAGAGATAAAGATGTGACCAGGCCTGACCTCACAGCCAGGCAAACAGACAGTTTGTCTGGCTTTTATCTTAAGCATCAATGACTTTTTCTCATTCAGAGGACAATAAAAATTATCCTTTTTTGATAAAATTTTAAGTTTACGAAACAGGATTCAAAGATTTAAGTCAGCAATTAACTCCTAAACATGTTTTCCCAAGGTATTAAATTATCTTCAATATAGTCAATATGTTAAAGATAATTTAAATATACTTTTTTGTTTTTTGGTTATCATGACATTCAGCATATATCTTCCATATTATCCCACCCAATAGGACAATTAATCTCTCAAATACAAGCTCCAGCAAAAGTAACAGTTTCTAAATGCTGACTACTTTGTCTCTGGCAGTAAACACCTCAGAGATGCTGCTTTGTGGCAATGAATAATGAACCTTGTTTTTGACATGATGTATCTTGGGAAATCCTTCTGCAGTGAGTACAGTTAACATCACAGTGCATCAACGTGTGCTGGTGGCACAGTGGAAGGATAAAATGCCACAGGACGACTCTCGCCGGACTGTCTGTCACTCAACTCTCTCTCACTTTCGCTCCCTCTCATACTCTCTCTGAC